GAACTCTGAACTAGTTATTTATCTAACAAGGTTACTGTAACTAAACTGAAACTGAAAATTAACGTGAAATATACAATTTTAGTTTGTTTGCTAAAATATTTTTTTGTAGGGAAAGAAAATCAAAATGAACTGAAATGATTTTGCGAACAACTAACTCAAATAAACTCAAACTATAAAGAAAACATCCTTAGGTTTACTCCTTGTCAGTCTGGCAAAATGTATTATCACAGCTTGCCTGATGAGGCTTTAGTTTGTACTGAGACTTAGCATTTCTACAAAACTGTGAGTCAACTGCTTTCAAAAAGCTCTGTTTTGTATTGTGCTACTTATGCTGATTTTCCTATATCTTGCCTCTGGCATGTTCCTTCATACAATATTAAATAAAAACACTAAAACTAATGAAAAACTAAACGGAAATACAAAAAAGCCCTAACTAAATAAAACTAACTTAAAATCAAACAGTCAAAATGAAATTAAAATGAAAACTAATTGGAGGACACAAAACTATAACATGTCTGGTACTCAACTAACAAAAGCATCCCTAAATATTTACACTCACTGGCCACTTCATTAGGTACATCAAGTCACCATCTTATTAATGCAGGTGTCGAATCAGCCAATTACATGGCAGAAACTAATTTACATTTAGGGGTCAGGCCTAACTAGTTGATGTTCAAGCTGAGCATCAGAATGTGAAAGAATGGTGGTTTAAGTGATTTTGAGCGTTGGAGGGTTGTTGGTGCCAGACGAGCTGGTCTGAGTATTTCAGAAACTGATGATCTGCTGGGATTTTCCCACACAACCATCTCTAGGGTTTACAGGGAATGGGCTGAAAAAGAGAAAATATGAAGTGAGCAGCTGTTCTCCGGGTGAAAATACTTTGCTGAAGCAGGGGTCAGAGGAGAAGGTCAGACTGCTTCAGCAACAGGCAACAGCCAGAGCATAAGAGCATCTCTGAATGCACAGCACATCAAATCTTGAACCACACCAGACCACACCAAGTGACACTACTTCACTAAGCTCAGGAACCAGAGCTCAATCCAATAGTGCATCTTTGGGATTTACATCAAGGATATGCAGCCAACTGCAGCAACTTTGTGATCCTCATGTCAAACAAAATCTCTGAGGAGTGTTTCCAGCACCAGTTATTTGGCTCAGAGTAGCAGGTATAACTTCGTTAGTACCTCAGGTCTCTAAACAGTGCCTTGTGAGCAGCACTCTGGATGCACACTCAGGTCTAATGGCCTGGGGTAGGCAGTGAAAAAAAGGCCCCAGAGCAATAATAATTAAAAAACAAAACTGTTTTCTTGTAATAACAATAATTTTACACACAAAAAAGCAAAACACAAACCTACAGTAGTGGTTTGGATCAGAGATGAGTTACCTTTAACCCTGTGAGGTCAGTGATGACCCCAAACCTGGTCCTAAATCCCAACATTTTGAGAGATAAACAAATAAATACTTATTTGTTAGAAAAAGCAATGTAAATAGCTGTTACGTGAGTCAATTCAAATATTTTTATTTCTAATTTGCAAGAACATTTTCTTTTAATTGGTGGGAGAACATTTTAAACATACAAAAATCGACACATCCAGACAGCATGGGATCAGATGGACTCCAAGGGCTGAAAGAATACAAAGCAGGAACAATAAGGCTTTTTTGAGGAGTAGGTCTGGGGTGACGGTTTTCTAAGGGTGGCATACGCAAAATTATTCAGGCAGTATGTGTGTGATCCCCACCCAAGTACAATCCGCGAAGCAGTGTGGCTTTACTTCAAATGTAAATGTGGCATCCTGTGAATAATATGTTCAGGTTGAACAAATCAATGATGCACTGTAGGCAAGGCTGTGTTATGATTTCAGAGGTTAAATCAATACAAGTGGCAATGAGAAGCTAATAACAAGACTGTGGGATTCTCCTCTACTTTGGATGAGTATTAGTGATGCTGTAAATAACATCTATCTGGCTTATGTTAAATTTTACCATGTGTCACTTCTACTGATGTGAAAATTATCCCCAGAATATCAATGTATAAATCTAAGAAGGCAGGTCATGCTTTGTTTTTGTTTGTGTGTGTATGTAAATGTATATAAACCAGGAATAGAAGACAAAGAATGAGAGAAAAAGAAGTTCTAATCAATTACAAAAAAGAAACACTGAGCTCTATCACTATTCATTGAAGGAGCTTAATCAACTTGATCAGAGGCAATAAGCCTACTGATGGAGCACAGAAGTGCAAATCCAGACATTTGTCACAGTGAAAAATCACAACAGATTCTGGTGTTAGACTCCGCAACTACATCGAAATCATTATCTGCCTTGACAGACAGCTCTGATTCACTGGACATGCCCAAAATAACATCACACAAACAAGAACCATTCAGAACAGAAGGTTAAAGTGAAGGAATGAATCATAGATGAGATTGTCTTCATCAGAAGATGAATGAAGAGCCCGGGTGAGTAATTGGTGTTGGTGTGGGTACTAATTATCCAGCCCCTAAAATTTGCCAGACGATGTTCCAGCATGTTCGGAACTCCTCAATAAATGTCAAAAAAATTGCTCTGTGGGAAGTGTGGGAGTGAGCATTCAGTTCCCTCGCGACAAATTTGGACACTTAACAGATCACAGTTTGACGTTAACTGGGAGCCTGTCAGTGCACCTTTAATGGGAAATGTGGGTACGTCTTTGGCAAGAGTTACATGCAGTGATTTCCCACGTTCCACGGAGTTACAGTCATTATGCTTCACCCACTTTTATATTTATAACTTCTTCTTTTTTGTAGGTTGCGGATCTTTTATAACAGATGCTAAATGAAATCATCTTCACATTTCTCAGAGCATCCTCTTAAAAAAAAGATAGAGGTTAAGTTACTCTGTTGTATTCTGTGAAGTGCATGTTTGGTTTGAAAGTTATTTTTTATCAGTTCATCTCGTGACAGCAAAGCATCCTCTCCCCAGAAGATGAGCAGTTATTTGGTTTGTAAAGCAATGCTGGGTTTCACATTCAATTTAGCCCTGGTGTCTATACAGTGCTCCCTATGATGTGGGCTGGGAAGGCCCAGAGCAAACCATCTATTGTGAAGCTTAGACAGGCTGCAAGTGAAGCAAATACCGTGCTGATTTGCAATACATCACAGACACACACACACACACACCCACACAATGCTCAGAATGTCTAAAACAAAATGGTCCACAGTAGCCTCTGCCAAGCTATCTGCTATTCTTCTTCTCTTTCCAAAAGCGTTCACCTCTTTAGGGAGTCTGCCGTTCAGACTCCTTGTGTGTTCCTTCATATGCTTTAAGATCTCAGCGGGCAGTTGTCCTCGCTATTCAGAGAGCTAAGACAAAAACCTCAGGCAACGTTTCTTCTTTTTTCCCACCCCTGCTGCACGCCCTTTCTTTAGAATAAACTCCCCAGCCGCCTTCAGCTAATGCAGCGCACACATGATCTTTAAAGCCCGAGTCAAAATGTCATTATCTCTAATGAGTATGAGTGTGTGCAGCTTTTTAATCTCCTGATTATTTAATCAGCATCCATAAAGCAGAAAAGTGCAGTTTAGTTTGAGCTCATGCTTAGCCTTGTCAGTAGGTCCCCTCCTCCTCTGTCATTTGTATTTAAGGGTACTGAAGTCTCCTGTGTCAGTTCTGCCCCTGCCAGCTGCCTACTGGCTCCTCCTTCTCTACTCCCCCCCGCCCCCCCCCTCCTCTTCTTCCTCCTCCTCCTCCTCAGGCCAGATATGACTTCTCTTTGCTTTCCTTGTTAAACTTTGCTACACCAGCCTGTCAAACTGTACTTGGAACTACACAAAGACCCAACACTAGACTTTTTTTCTTTTGGGGCCTCAAATCATTGGACTTAATATTAACTGTTAAAACTCTGTCTTCAGTTTACTTTAACTCCTCTTTTTTCAATTGTATACCGGACTCAGCAGGTCATTGTTGTCCACTTATTTTTTCTTTTTGTTGTTGTCTAAGTTGTCTTGATACATTTACATTGTAGTTTACAGCTTGTGCGTTTCCCTGACTTACTGCAGTCTTACTTTGCATACCTATCTGTGATCAGTGGTATTATCAGGCCTCCACCACCAGGCTGGATCAATAATTTAGTGTAATTCTTCTTCTTTCTTTTTTTTACAGTCTATAGCAACAATTGTCAACAACAGTCACACCAAGTTGCTTCATGTTGTAAGGTAAAGAACCTACAATATTAGAAAGAAACTTTTATTACCAGATGAGCTCCTATAAGGAAGCAGTTGGAAACTGTGGGAATGACAATCTCTCTGTTAACAGGAGAAATCTCCAATGGAAACAGACTCAATTAGACAGGAGAGAGAGAGCCAGAGTTTAATAATTGCCAATAATTAAATTGAGTAGTGGTGTGTAAACCCGCAGGAAGTGAAAAGAGGTACGTGATTCAGTGCATCATGGGAAGCTTCCCAGCAGTCTAAGCCTATTACAGCATTACAAAGAGATGGCTCAGGGTCACCTGATCCAGCACTAACTCTAAGTTTTATCGAAAAGGAAAGTTTTAAGCTTAATCTTAAATAACATGTCTAAATGTATAACATGACTCACAGCACATCTATCATCATACATTATTTACCCGGTGAAATCAGGGCAATACTGTTTAGACTTCTGAAAGCCAGAAATCTCTCAAACGTACTCCAATGTCACCACCTAGTGACCTTTTTTGATATTCTCGGTAGACCCCAAACACACAGACACTAAAATGAAACAGCCTTTCACGGATTTTCAGAAGCCTTGTGGATGAACCACAGATCTGACGCTGCCAAACCACTAAACTCTAACTCACTGTGTTGCTGTATGTATGTTTAAACATACTTATATATAATATATGGACATTCTAAGTTCTTCGGGGGCTTTATAGATTTAAAGTATAACGCTAATGTTAAAAAACACAGGAGAGCACAGAGTCACTTCCCGTTTTAGACGAGAATTGCGGAATTTGGGATGCAAAACTGAGCCGAGAAAAGTCGGTTGTTTCTAGTCGGCGTGTTTTTCTTAACGTACCAGCATCGCCCTGCGACCAAATAAAAGAAAACAGTGCCAGGTAGTTGTACGATAAATCTTTTTAGTATTGGTGAAAAACGCTCCTTGTTGTTTTTAATATTTATATTATACGTGATGTTTGTGTTTTCGCTTGAGTTTCGAAATGTCGGCCGTTTTTTATGGCAAATTATCCTCCTTTCTGTCACGATTAGCCTGCTAGCTGACGTTAGCGGTTTAATTTCCGGGATAGAATAACTTTATCAAGATGACCGATTTTTGCATTACTTTTTCATCTTTACTGTTAACCGACATGGACGTACACGATATATGTCTCCTATATGTCGACAGAGCTTGCGCTGGCCTGTCTTTACAATAATAGTAGCATGACCTAACCAATAGCGTTGTCTTTATGCTTTAAAATCACAGCGGCTTTTTTTCTTTCTGTCTGGTCAGATTATGGAGTTTGCAGAGCTAATAAAGACACCCAGGGTGGACGGGGTTGTCCTACACAGGCCTTTCATGCCTACTGTGGAGGGAACTCTGTGTTTGACTGGTCATCACCTGATTCTCTCCTCCAGACAGGACAACACGGAGGAGCTGTGGCTGCTTCATTCAAACATTGACTCGATAGAGAAGAGGTGACAGCGTTGTGTTGTTGTTTTTCTAAATTACTGTTATGTAATCTCTTTATGAAAATGGTACATCACCTACCCTAAATAGATGCAGGTCAGTAGGGCATGTATTTGTTAAAGTCCGTTTGAGTTCCGCCTGTTTTTTAGTGCATGCTGCAGATCTGATTATTATTTATTAATAGTGTCCATATGCATAACTTGCTTATAGTTAAACTGGTTAGAGAAACTAACATTAACTGGTTAAAGACACGGGGCTTGTAGTGGCAAAGAATTTGTTTTTCTTCACTGCTATTTCTGGTAATTGTACCGTTTTTAAACATTTTAGGTTGGACACAAAATCAGGTTGGACACACAAGCTTCAGGAGGTTTGCCTAGTACTTAACTGTCAGTTTCTATTCCAGTATTGGCCTAATAACCTGCAGACAATCTTAAGGTTTAATTTGAGGTTTTGGTATGGGCTTTCTAAATGGAGAATAACTTGGAACAGTGGTAAAACTTCCCAAGAGTGCCCAGCCGACCAACACTGACACATCAAGGAGGTCTGAATAGACACAAGATCAACCTTTAAACAACTGAAGGCCTCAGTTAAAGCCACTGTTCATGATTTAACAATAAGAAAGATGCTGCGCAAAAATGGCATCCATGGGAGAGTTCCAAAGTGAAAAATCACTGCTGACCAAAAAGAACACAAAGGGCTTGTCTCACATTTTATAAAAGATATCTTGATGATCCCCAAGACTTTTGGAAAAATACTTTGTGGACTAACGAGACAGAAGTTGAACCTTTTGGTATGAAACTAACATGGCATTTTATTTAAAAAACAAAGTCATACCAGCAGTCAAACACGGTGGTGTTAGTGTGATGGTCTGAGCTGCATTGCTGCTTTGGAATCTGGATGGCTTGCTGTATTTAATAAATTCCCCACTACCCAAAAATCCTGAAGGAAAATGTTCAATCATCAGTTCATGCCCTGAAACTCAAGCACACTTTGGTTATGCACCAGGACATTGGTCTGAAACACACAAGTGTTCTGAAAGACTCATTGCCAGTTATCACAAACACTTGATTGCAGTTCTTGCTGCCAAGGGTGGCAAAACGTTATTAGGTTTTTTTTAGATAGTGCCAGGTAGGTTTGGATATCAATTTCCTTTAATAAATTACATCATTTTAAAATGGTATTTTGCATTTACTCAGGTTGTCTTTGTCTAATATTAAAATATATTTGATCTGAAACATTAAAGTGTGACAAATATGCAGAAAAACAAAACAAAAAACGAAGCAGGCAAATACATTTTCACAGCACTGTATTGTCTCTTTCATTGTAAAGCAAATGACTCATAAATCCTCCTGCCTTTCTGACTGAACTTCATGCAGATGCCTTCACATTAATCCATTAAGAATGGATTTATGCAGCTCATTGTACTTGGATACGGGCCAATCCACTCTTTCATCTGTAGCTGGGGCACGTTGCTGCTTAGAGCTTACGTACTGAGCACTGAGTACTGATACTGCCTTTAATAACAATCACTGAATCTACAGTCAAACTAAAAGTTGTTTCAACGATTCTTCCAGAAACCCAACATGACGATAACATAGAAATTACACACAGAAAGCCGAGCTGTAGGGCTCAGAGTAGTTCACTGATACTCTGTGTTTGTTCATGACATTCATCCTCTTTATTGTGCTCACCTTTTAAATTTTAGATTTGTGGGGTCTTTGGGGCACATCACTGTCAAATGCAAAGACTTGAGAATGATTCAGCTTGAAATCACTGGTATGGAGGAGTGTCTCAACATTGCCAGCTCTATCGAGGTAAGAACAAAGGCTCCCCGTCGGAAAGAGAGTGATTATTTTTAGCTACGCTATATTTTTCTCTCAGGCTCTCTTTGTTTTTGTCATGTCAAGTTAAATTCTGCATGTGATTAATATTGTGAATAACAAGTCAATGTTTTCATTCCTCTCAAGGCTCTGTCCACTCTTGATTTAGTCTCCCTGATGTACCCTTTCTTCTACCGGCCAATGTTTGAAGTCATAGAGGATGGATGGAATTCATTTCTTCCCCAGAATGCCTTTAAAGATTTGGAGTCCATGGTACGTTTAGGTGACATTACAGAGTAATTCAATTTGAATCAGGGTTATTGGACCTTTTTTTGTTTTGTTTTCTCCATCCTCTCTACCTCACTTTGCAGACAGATGAGTGGAGGCTGAGTGAGGTCAACAAAGACTTCAGCTTGTGTCCGTCATACCCCCCACTAGTGGCAGTACCCAAAGATTTTGATGATGAAACGCTGAAGAAAGTAGCCACTTTCCGTCACGGTGGCCGTTTTCCAGTACTTAGCTACTACCACAAGAAGAACGGCATGGTAAGCGCAAGAAAAATAATTTCTCTGCCTTTGACCGTCTCTTTTACTTCTCATCGTTTGTGTTTTTGAACATTATAGCTAGGGATGGACTGATCCCATATACAATACCGGTATGGGTCCGATCCTGACCTAAATTACTGGATTGGATATCAGGGAGTAATAAAAAATGTAACCCGATCCATTAAATATAACAAAAGCACCTCACGAAACTTGCAAAATGGCTTAACCCAGGTAGTGACCTTAGCACATCGGGGGCAGTACGCATCACGTGATAGTGCGGCTGTTGCGTGGGAGACCTGTCGGTGGTCTGGAGTTGCTTGTCACTGAAAGCATCTGGAGCCTTGCTACGTGCTGCCAAACCGGTATTTCACCTCTGAGCAAGCTGTCCCAGAGAAGTAAAGCAAGTGTGTAAGTTCATCTCTGAATGTTTGTAAAGCATTCTTACGTTAAGCTTAACAACCGATATATGGAGCTCGGACGTCTGTGCGTCTGACCGTACAATGGATAGACTCAAGATTTACTTTGGGAAAAAAAAAATTGTGTTGCAGGCTAAACAGTTCCATGGTTCCCAAAAAACTATGAAAAACACTTTTTTTTCATACTTATGTTTTGTATAGAAATTACACAAAAGTCAGTCTCAGGTTAAATGTGATTGAAACAGCTTACACTGACATCCATGTTGATAAATGTGTCATGAAGGCGTGTTTGCATTTGTTTGCACTGCTTTCCACTCTGGATGTCTATTTATGCTAAGCTTTAAGTATAAAAGGGTCCATTCTACAACCCGTTTTTGTTGTTGTTGTTGAATATAAACATTATTTATAAACATATTAAATAAAAAGATAAGTATTGCCGAAATGCTAAATATTTTGGATGCAGTATATTTTTTGCAAGTGTAATAGAATATCTTTAGTGTTTTGTCTTTTTAAATTTGAGTATGAACTGTTGGGAATAAATAATTTTTACAGTGCCTCAATAATGCTATGCTTTTTTATTAATAAGTGTTATAAAGTTATATAGTGTAGTATTAAGTGGACACAGCCCTGAAAATAAAGGCATGAGACCATGTGTCCTTGGGGAGTGGAAAGCTGGGGACCATCTCTAGTGGAAAGTTATTGAGACACTGTTGTTTAGATTAGAATGAAGGAGCTTCTGTAATAAAACTGTTGGACATATACAAAATGCAGCAAGATATTTAAAAAAAACAAACCGTTTTATTGATCATAAAATAGACTATGTTGGATTCATATTAGTATCGACAGATATCCAAATTCATGATATCGTATCGGTCATAAACAAAGTAGCCATCTCTAATTATAGGGGTTGATAAATCACTTCCACTTTCAGGTGATGATGCGAGCAGGACAGCCACTGACGGGCACCAATGGGCGACGGTGTAAGGAGGACGAGAAGCTGATCAACGCCACTCTGCGGCCAGGAAAGCGCGGTTACATCATTGATACACGTGCTATCAATGTTGCTCAGCAGGCCAAAGCCCGAGGTGGAGGGTTTGAGTTGGAGGCCAACTACCCACAGTGGAGAAGGATCCACAAGGCCATTGAAAGGTGATTGGACACTTAGATATTAAGAAGACAGTAACACTTTATAATGCAACCTGTTTAGAGTCTGTTGCATTGCAATTCCCTCATGATTAAATGGAATTTCAATTTATTTTATTAGAAATTAAAATGTCATTATAATTGCCTTTAAATGCTTAAAGGTGGGTTCGCTAGAATACGGGGTAACAGCTCACCTTTATACAGGAAAGAAAGGAATAATTATACTGTAAGTACATTTAAGTAGTGCCTGAATTCTGGCAGTTTTGCAAGACAGCAGATACAAATGATAGAGTATTTCATTTTAGGCACTGCATTAAATTTCTTGAAAATTTTGCAGAAAAACAAACAATGTTCCCCCATCTTACATCATAAGTACACTGTACTTTTCCCAGCTTGGGTTGGATTATGGAGTTGCTTAACCTTGCCTAACTAACTGCCTAACAGGAACAGAGACACTCTTTTTACTGTACACTCCTTTTGAAAGTTTTGCTTGAAAAGTGATTGTGAAAGAAAAAAGTACTTGGCTTCATCATTCATCATTATACAGTTAGACAGCCAAGCAGATTTTGAAGGTATTTGTTTTTTCTTGTAAGCTGATAAGGGAGAACACGTCTTAAGGAGATTTGAATAATAGAACGTCCATCATGCACATCAACATAAAGAATATTAAAAAAACAAAGATGTAAAAAGGCATGATTAATCCACTCCATAATATGGCACTGAAAAGTGCAACTTGTGTTTTTCTGCAAAATTACCAAGAAATTGCACGGCTTAAATTTACTTGTGTTTTAATTCCCTGTAAAAAGCTGACTCGTTACCCCTACTTTTAATTATTTGCAGGTAAATATAATGACAATGTTTTTTCAAATAAAATACATTAACTTTTAATTTAATGAAAAGGGAATCACACCCTTAGTTGTGGGCTGTATTTGTAAAGTATTACTGAGAAGACTAGATAAAGTGGAAACTGATTGAAAAGTATCTGATACTTTAAATGATCTAAATAAATCTGTTTTTTGCAGGTATAATGTCCTTCAGGAGAGCCTGATTAAGTTGGTGGAGGCATGTAACGACCAGTCCCACAGCATGGACCGCTGGTTAAGCAAGTTGGAGGCTTCCAACTGGCAAACTAATGTCAAAGAGATCCTCACCACTGCCTGCTTGGCTGCCCAGTGTATTGACAGGTCTGTTTTTCATTTGCTTGTCCTCATGTCCCAGTAAACATAAACTCGAAAAGCAGCGAGCAGTGACAGACTGTGGGCTCGTGTGTTTATCTCAGGGAGGGAGCGTCAGTGCTTGTTCACGGTACAGAAGGGACAGACTCCACCCTGCAGGTCACCTCCTTGGCTCAGATCATCCTGGATCCCGGCTGCAGGACCGTTAAAGGCTTTCAAAGCCTGGTAGAGCGGGAGTGGCTCCAGGTGAGCTTTGATGCATTGTTTAGAGCCAAATGTTGTCTTTTCTTTCACCTTCTCCTCCACAGTGTGAGTGTTTCCACTCATTTCACCTCTTTGACTGCTTACACAGGCTGGTCACCCTTTCCAGCAGCGCTGTGCCCAGTCTGCCTTCTCCAACAGCAAGCCTCGCCATGAGGCCCCTGTCTTTCTTCTCTTCCTGGACTGTGTGTGGCAGATCCTTCGCCAATTTCCCTGCTCCTTTGAATTCAACGAGAGTTTCTTGGTACTGCTTTTCGAACACGCCTACGCATCTCAGTTTGGGACATTCTTGGGCAACAGTGCAGCTGAGAGGTAAGATAGGAGTTGGCTGCTGTAAGACCTTCAGTTTATGTCAGGGCTATGCTTTCAGCTGTGTGATGTGGGTGTCAATGTGGGTGTCACTACGTAGTTTAAGAATACATCATTTGTTATTATTTGTTGTATTTCTGATAGTTAGGTCATGCAAAAATCACGATGCTCTCCCTGCAGCTGTGAACCACCTCTGATAAAACAGCTGTGAACCAGTTTTCTTATTGGTTAGTCTGACACATTTCTGTCTTTTCACAGAGCCAGACTGTGCTTGCCTGAAAAGACTGTGTCCCTTTGGTCATGGGTGAATCGGCCGCAGGAGCTGGAGCGTCTGACCAACCCACTTTACGAGCCCAACAGTCTTGTGATCTGGCCATCTGTGGCCCCTCAGAGTCTGCTGCTGTGGGAAGGTAAGAAACAAATATATTCGTAGGTATCTCTTAAGAAGAGGGAGAGGAGGTAGAAGGGAGGTCTGGGTGTCTGTACAAAAGACATCTGCCTCTGTGATCTATAATAGATGGATAGATAGAAAAATCAGCAAATTTAATTTTCAGACCTTGTTTCCTTTTTTATAAAAGAAAGTTTCCTAAAGTGAAAAAAAAGGAAACATGCCGGATAATTTTAAGTTTTAAAATAATAAAGTACACACAAAGTTTTGTTTGCAGGTTTTAAGGGAACATTTATAGCTGGGAGTATTTTTTTTTAAATTTAATCTTTAATCAGTTTCAGCTGTATTTATGTATTTTTTATACATACATTAAATCCAACTGTTACACTGAGTGTCTCATTTACAACACGAAAGCAATTAAATGGCACATGTTAATATTCTTCAATGAAAGCAGTCCAGTGAGACCACATGCTGTACATATTTTGCAGTTTTGACTCATGCTTTAAGTTTATTCTCAGTCTGAAGATGGAGTAGGTTAATATCTAAAAACCCACCGTGAGGATCAGGTGATAAAACTGCTTTTGTAGCCGCAGGTACATGATTAGAAATTGGGCTACTCCATAATTAAAAATACACATTTGCTCACTCATACGTTCTGAAATCTCACCAGTAGGGGGCACCATTGATTTGAGCATTTGAACCCTGAATGACCCTGACAGCCACTGGGACCCAAGGACCAGCTATTTGTGCTTTCCAAGGTTACAAGCATGAAGACAAGTATACATACATTGTACAGGATTTTTAAAAAATATTATCAGCAAATAATTTTAGATAAATAAACAAAATGTTGCACGTCAGTTTATTCCTTTTACAGTCACCTTTGATCTTTAGTAAAGATAAGCATTCAGTCCCATGATTATCCAATAGTGAACGAACTATTGGTTGCAGCTTTGTCATGTCGTGTACAGCTACTAGGTGAGGTATGTGATCAGTGCTGTCTGACCTGCCACCTGGAACTAGGCAAGATGACTCAGCTGAATTTCATGTAACTTGGTGGAGAGGTGGTACTTGTGCAAAAGTTTCCAGTATAGCTAGCATTATGAATCATTTTACAAGAAGAGGTAGAACACACTTTGGCATTTGGGAAATTGTTCAAAATGCTCCTGAGGTGTGTCCGTGACATGTTCAGCCTGCCTGTGTGTCTTTTTACAAACGGTTTCCTCACTGAGAGGCAGTGTGATGATATTATAGTAAAGCATAAGTAGCAAAATGGTGCTAAATAAAGAAGCACTGATATAGGCGTACAACCACCAAATCTGTTGTGGGTAATTTAAAGTGCTGTTTGTTCACAAGTGCCTTTTGGCATTAAACACAAACATCATGTATCAGTGGAGGTTATATCAGAATATCAGTGTATATAAATGTGATCCTAAATCTTTTTAAATCAAAATTATTTGATCATTTTACATGATCGTTTTTATTTAAATTGCCAGATAAAACCAGCTTTACCAATGTTAGCATTATATCATCATTGTTTTTGGTTTAAAATTATTACTTTTTTCACATTTTTCACACTTTTTAAACCACTGACAATTCAATTCAATTTTATTGAAATGACAGTGTACTAATTTGATTTTAACAAATTCAGAATGAATATGTAAGTCTGAATTTGTCTAACTTGTGAATTTGAGTGACTGCAGTGAAACTTAAAACATTTTTTGATTTGCTAAACTCTTAATTGATGAGGGTTTTTTTTCTCCCCACAACTTTAATAATGGTGGTTATTCTTATTCTTAACTATGGTTTTCTTAATGTCAGTGGGTTCAGCATAGTACAACAAGTACAACAAAGCCCTGGGGAGATCTGTGTTAGACCATTCATAAAGAAAAATTGGGGGAGGGGGAATCCAGACCAACTAGAGGTCATTAGGTTCATGCATTTTGTGCATGGGGCCTCTCTTACTGCCCAAAGCCTTAGAATCACATTCACACTATATGAAGTGGAATGCATAAGAACTGAGTGGAGCACGTGATATCCTGCTTATGCAGCTCTTTCATAGAAAGTGACGCACACTCCTCAGCCCACCTTAAAAGACCCAATGGAAGTCCTGAACTCTAGCTGCTGATGTGGACACTAAAAGAAACTGATGGCATGTGTAAAATCTTTACATCCCAAAAGTTCTGTGTAATTCTTAGTGAAATAATATTGAATAAAAATAATGGTTTAACTAAAAAAACAAAAAATGCACTAAAATATTGTTTTTTTTAACTGGACTGCAGTTTGAACACTTTAAAGGTGTTGAGTAAAAATGTGGAGGTTTTAGTCATTTTATTTGAGTAGCACATTTAAGAACAGCAGACTTTAACCTCCTAAGACCCGAACTCTTCCACAGCATACATTTTTAATTTCTCTTTGATATTTGGGCATATTGGGGCCCGATGAATGTAAAAACAAAGAATTACCAGATTTTTATTTTATTTTTTTTTTACCTTTTTCTGTTTTTAAGAAAAATAGGAGCCACATATGAAGATATTTGTTTAAAATTTTGATAGAACAGTAGCAGTATAATGTCCTTGTAAGTGGATATCAGGCCCTTGTAGAGCAAAATTAAGTATTTGGTCTAATTAACCCAAAATGTGATGTCCACATATGTGGACGCCAGGTCCTAGGAGGTTAAATAGGGTGCTGCACAACAGACAAGTGAAACCACAATTTAAACTGTTGAAATTAAATTTTAAAAAATAGCTAAAAGACATGTAAGAGTTAAAACACTGATAAACATGACTTTTAAACATTTTAAAATCCAATTAGAAAAAGACTTTACAAATACAAAGGAAAGAAATGGAAAGCAATCAACACTATTCACAAAAGACACAAAGGTTATAAATTCAATATAATTCCAGAAAGTTAATGAGCAAAAGGATTTCAGGATTATTTCTGAACTACACGGGTATAACTGTGTAATAAAATCCAGGACAGGTGAAATGTCAGTTATCCATCTTGGGCCTTTCTGTGTGGAGTTTGCATGTTCTCGGTTCTTGGTTGGGCGATAAAACTTCAAAACTATGTAATGGTATTTCAAGGAAATTTATGATAATGATATTTCTGATAATATAGAGGGAAAAAATGTGCATAGGGCAACTTTTGGGTAGAAGGATTTATTTTTCAGCACAAACAAAACGAAGGGCTTTTCCGTCCTTCTTTTCTGACAGTCACTGATGACACAGCTAAGTGTCTTAAAACATCAGCAGCAAAGCTTATTTAAAAGAAGAGTAAAAAATGACAGGGTTTTTTTTTTTGTTTTTCTTCCCAAAACATGAAATTTACAATATGATGCCAATGATCTAAGATGCAAAGAAATACTGGAAATATTGCTCACAGTGAGCAATATAGAGACAAAGTACTAGCAGTAAGGCTGAGATGGGTTGGACATGTGCAGAGAAGGGATAGTGGGTATATTGGACAAAGGATGTTGATAATAGAGTTACCATGCAGGAAGGAAAGAGGAAGACCTCGAAGAAGATTCATAGATGCAGTGAAGGAGGATCCACTGTGGTGAGCCCCTAAAGGGATCAGGCAAAAGACAAGATTTTTATTTTTCATTAAAGGTGAGGAAATTGGGTAAAAGCAAGGCTTTAATGTCAGCTAAACAACAAGAAATTCACTGAGGGATCAGAGGCAAGTGTGTCTAAATATCAGTAAAAGATATATCAATGGGCATTTGGAGTACAGATCCAAGTTACAGCACATGTTCTAGCAAAGGGCAAAGTTGGCTGCAGTTAATTCATTGTTCCAAATATTGCGTAAACATAGGAATGCACATGCACATCCTTCCGCAGCCACCATACATTTCACAAGTATTTTGTTATCAATGACCCAAACTTAAAAAGAACTAAAATAACTGAGATCTTATTGAGTAGTGCTATCTACAGACGTGTTACTGGGTTCAGAAAGCTCAGTTTGTTGACACACGGGCATTCCTTATGACTGAGCGATGGTAAAGCGATGGTTCATTCCAGTCATACAGCTCCTCTGTGTTTACAACCGTTTCTCTGCCAACAGCCTCCAACCACCATTAAGATCCAGTGGTTTTGTTTTTTTTGCGCTCAGCACAAACTATGTGAACTGTTTTTCGAGACTGCTTTAAGTTTTAGACATGTCAGAATCTTGTATTTGTACTCCAACTCAAAGCTCCACAAAGTACCACATCCAGCGCGATAATACACTTTATCTGTTAGCTGTTTGTTTTATTTATCGAAATTATGTGTGTACGTGTATGTGTAAGTATGTGTTATCATAAGAAAGGTGCATGTTTTCCCATTAGTGTACAGTGACTGCACACGCAACGCTTACATAACCTCTATCAAGGTTGTGAGACTGCAGTGTTTAGAAGAAACCAGAACTGGAAGAAACCAGTTTGTGAATTGTTGTTTTCTGATTGGTCCTGCTCTTCTGTGACAGGAGTGTTCCTTCGTTGGAACCGCTCCTCCAAGTGTCTGGATGAGGCCTATGAGGAAATGGTTCATATAATAGAGTACAACAAGGAGCTTCAGACCAAAGTAAACAGCCTGCGCAGGCAGCTGGCCCAGCTTGAAACTGAAGATCCTCTGCTGCATACGCCATAAAGAGAGAGAGAGAGACCTCTAAAAGTAATTGAGATGGTACATTCAAACAATCACAGACATCCCAGCTTTAGCCTTAAACTTTTTTCTTCCCCTTTTTAAAACATAATGTAAGAAAACAACATTATTGTCAAGTTATTCTTTGGAGCATGAACGC